TTTGTAGTAAAATAAAGTTTAGTTTTTAGTAAAATAAAGTTTAGTTTGGAGAAAAATAAAGTTTAGTTTGTAGTAAAATAAAGTTGACTTTTTCTAGTAAAGTAAAGTTTAGTTTGTAGTAAAATAAAGTTTACTTTTTGTAGTAAAGTTTAGTTTGTAGTAAAATATAGTATAGTTTGGAATAAAATAAAGTTTAGTTTTTGTAGTAAAATAAAGTTTAGTTTGGAGTAAAATAAAGTTTAGTTTTGGTAGTAAAATAAAGTTTAGTTTTGAGTAAAATAAAGTTTAGTTTGTAGTAAAATATAGTATAGTTTGTAGTAAAATAAAGTTTAGTTTTTGTAGTAAAATAAAGTTTAGTTTTTAGTAAAATAAAGTTTAGTTTTTTAGTAAAATAAGGTTTAGTTTGGAGTAAAATAAAGTTTAGTTTGTAGTAAAATAAAGTTTAATTTTGTAGTAAAGTAAAGTTTAGTTTGTAGTAAAATAAAGTTTACTTTTTCTAGTAAAGTTTAGTTTGTAGTAAAATAAAGTTTACTTTTTGTAGTAAAGTTTAGTTTGGAGTAAAATAAAGTTTACTATTTGTATTAAAGTAAAGTTTAGTTTGTAGTAAAATAAAGTTTACTTTTTGTAGTAAAGTAAAGTTTAGTTTGTAGTAAAATAAAGTTTACTTTTTGTAGTAAAGTTTAGTTTTGTAGTAAAATAAACTTTACTTTTTGTAGTAAAATAAAGTATAGTTTGTAGTAAGAGTTGTGTGAGAATCTGATGCTTGGTAAATGTTCATCAAGCTGCACACTCAGACAGGCATTTTAAGAATCAACAAAGTTCAAAAATACATATGAGGCTAGTTTGTGCAACACCTTTATTTAGTAAAATATTGACCCTTTCCACTCCTTCCTACATTATATCTTTCATAAAGGCACACTTGCTTTGTTCCTACAGAATCTTGAATGTTTAGCTAAGACCCACCTCAGATCTTTTAACAGCAGTTAGAAGATTAAATTAGCAATGTTCCTCAGAGCTGTTCTCCATCGAGGAAGCAGACACTGTTCCTGATTTTAACAACTCATTCTTAAGCTCAAGTGTCATAAGAGCATTTTCAGGGAAAAGTGTTGGAGAGGAAAGACTATGGTGGCAGCGAAAGACAGAGGAAGTGGAAGAAAAGAACTGAAGTTAGTAACCTATAACAGGTGCGGGAAGGGGGGGGGGGTGTTAGACTTCTTTGGGTCCTTTCATTTCACACAGCATACCACTCTTACCTCATGGACCTGCCATGTGAAGCGAAGCAGAGGAAGACAGGGAGACAAAACGACACATGTTCATATGGGCTCGGGTGGGCTATTATGTTATGGAGGGGCAAGGATTAAACCAGAGACCCGTATGGGTCTAGAGCTGATTTGGATTCCAGACAGCTATGAGCTAACTCCACATCCCAACCACCATGAACAGCAAGCTCTTTGATATATTAGATACTATCCAACTAATGCAGCCCCCATTAAACACACAATGTGGGGGCAGCGTCTGCAGGAAGAAGCCTCCTGTGGGGATTCATCTACAGAAACACCAACAGCTGGGTGTGCATCCACACACACAGGTGGTGTTACATGAGCCGAGCTCATTTTCAAATAGGACACGTTGATGGGACACTAACAAACACAGGGATGACAGAGTTTACAAGATGGAAAATGGTAAAAGTTGCATACATCGTTATGTTTGACTTGTCCTCCGGTGCACAAAAATGTCTTCTGATCACAAAGAAAAAGTTAGTACGTGTTTTTATTATTATGAGTAAAAGATGAGCTACCTTAAGCACTATTCACCTTCTAGCAGGCGTTGATTTGGTGCTTTGCATCATTTACAGAACAACTGAACCAGGCTTTAGTTTAAATATATTCTGCTTTATGACCTGCAAATAACCAAATCAAATCTGTCTCATGTTTTCTACGTGACAGCTGAACAACGTCTGGTGTATTCACCTTATCTCCTTTGAAAGTTGGCTAAATGGGGAAAATGCAAACATGTGATACCGACACACAAAAACGCTGAGAGGAAATCCAAAACTTCAAACATCCAGACTTGCTGCTTGTTACAGCACATTTACATTTATGATGCTTCAGTTTTCTGCCTCTTACCCAGTTCTTTTTGTTCTTCTTCTTGTTTTTTGCGTCGACGTCCATGTTGGAGCCCACGCTGGAGTGGCTGGTTGCGCTGGCGACGCTGCTGACGCTGTCGGAGGAGTGCTGCCTCCTGATGCGCAGGTCTGGCTGCTGACTCTGAGGCTGCTGCTGCTGCTGAAGAGAGCTGCTACTGCCACCTGACAGGAGACAGAACAGATAAATACGAGTTTACAGGTAATCTGCAGCCTGTGGGATCACTTTGAATAACAAAGGAGTGTTGACTAGGCCTGTCACAATAACAAATTTTGCTGGGGGATTAATTGTCTCAGAAATTATTGAAATAAATGATAATATTCTTTGAAATTTGACAATAATTAGTCATTCTTGTCAAATTTAATAAGAAATGTTGGTAAATTTTTGTGTGCAGTACCTTTTTTTGACCACTGGATGGCAGTATAAGGCAGTTTGAACTGAAGGATGGATAGTGAGGGAGCGAGCAGCGTGTCTCTAAGAAAAATGGGAGGGAGGCCCCTTGATGTGACATGGGCTGTCTCTCCTTCCTGTTTTGCGGTTCTCAAAATGGCGGACGCTCGGTGTGGTTTGAGCTCTTTAGCATAGCATTTTTCACATGAAGCTTTTAATAAATAAAAAAATCAGTAAACAAGTTCTCAGCTTCTTTTTGCAGAGAAAAACAACTTTTTACACGAAGGCACGAGTTTCAACTGTGAATTTCGGAGCTTCGACAAGACGGAGGTTTTTTCCCCAAGTTCGGTCTGTTAGCTTAGCTCGTAGCTTAGCTTCTCAGCTTAGTTGCTTTTAATGATCTAAAAAAGCGATTTTGGACGGTTAAAATTTATTTTAAAGAGAAAAGAAAAGGGGGGGGGGGGGGTCAGTAAAGAGCACCAGAGTTGAGCCTTTTGTCATCCAGTGTCTTCAGTAGAAAGAGAGAGACACGAAGAAACAATAGAGCCAATAAATGAAAATTAAGTTGATAATTTTCATTTATCATGCGATTAATGGATTTATTGTTCATCGCGACAGGCCTAGTGTTTACTACGACTTTTATTGTCCTTTGCACATACAGTAATAGATTTAGCACCAACCCAAGACTTATTGTTTGTCTTCATTCAAACGTATATTCATTACAACAGTACATTTAACTTTCAACATACTGACGAACCCTCCCAAACAAATGCATTGGTCAGTGCTGCTTGTTCGTACCTGTCCGGTCTCCTCTGGGTACAAGTTCAGGAGTGTTGATGACGCCGTTGATGGCAGCTTGAGCGACGGCGTTCTGCTTCTTCAGCAGCTCGATGGTCTTCCTCAGTTCATTCAGCTCCGAGTCCTGTACAGAAAACATGGCAGGTTGTTAAACCTGGCCATCCAGCTGCGGATGTTTTCATCATGTACCATGATTTGTATCCGACGGTGTGTTTGACGTTTTTACCTTCTGCTCTGCCGTCAGAGTGAGACTCTTCAGTCTGATGGTCATGTTGCCCAGACTCTGTTCAAACGCTGCCACCAGGTGAGCCTGGGAAAAATAAAGGCAACTTCAAGTGATGCGCTGTATGTTTTTGAACAAGACAAGCAGCACAACAAGATATACATAAAAAACATAAGAAAATAGAAGTTGCAGACTTTTGTCTCCTCTCAAATATCTGCTCACCAAGTTTTAATCAAAAGTTACCTGCAAGGTTTTCAGATACCTGGAACTCACAAAGTAAAGGCTAAAATACCAACAAAGGTCTTTATTCTTCAAACCCTATTTAAGAGCTGCATTCACATCAGTCCTGGACTAGATGTGATGTTCTTGCTCTGCTTGTGGTTTGAGGAGGGGCTCATGTTGAAGGTAATGCAGCTTGTTCTTTGCAGGAAGATGGCTTACTTGTGGTGTGCACAAAATAAACTGAAATTGTGTTGACCGTGGAACTGGAGGTACTAACTAGTTTGCAAATGTCCAAATGAGTGTGAGCGGAGATTGGGCAGAGTATGAGGGAAGGAGAACAATGTGAACCAGCAGCGCCCTTGACTGACTCCACCTGAGCAGCTGAGTGAGATGAGAAAATACGGGAGCTGTTGACACAACCGCTCCAACCTTGGAGTCATAACCCAAACATGACGTCAAGTTCCCCTTAAATCAAGAAATAAACACAAGGAAACCCAAACAACTGCACAGAAGAACATCCTGAGGAATATGATCATCTGCTGGTGGTCACAGGACACGCCACCGATCTCAAACTGTTGGATTGTTTCTCCAGAGAACAGTCAAAGATGTTAGTTTGATCAGAAGAAGTTGGTAATTAAACTGGAATGATCATCTGACAAAGTAATAGCATGAAATTAGATTTAAAAAACTACAATAAAAAAATAGAGGAATTACATTTCCTGCAAAAATGCAGTGTGACTGCTTATTGCAGAACTTGCTGAAAAACAGCTGAAATTACATGTAGCTAAAACAACATTCTGAAATGAAGCTGCAATGAAAGAGCAAGCCTAAATTAGCAGAAGAAATCAGAAAGAACATGTTTGCTGAATTATGTTTAAGCATGAATGAGCATAAAAATTAGGAAATTAGCTAAAAAAAGAAAGTTGAAAAGTAGCTGAAACGACAGAAGGAAGCTTAAGCTACCAGAAGGAAGCAGAATGAACTGAAATGAGCTAAAAAACAAACAAACATATGGAATTAGCTGAAAAGGCTCAAATTAGTATAAAAACTGTTAAATAGTAGCTGAAATACCAGAAAAAGCTAAAACTATCGATATCTATATCTAAATTTGTATAAAGTAGTTTACTAGGCTGATAGTAGCAGAAATAACCACCAAAAACTTTAATATATCTGAAAATAGCTAATCTTTGCTAAAAAGTAGCTGAAAAGGTAGAACAAGCTTAAATTAGCATAACAAAGGAGATAGAACACATATTTGCCCAATTAGGCTGAAAGAAGCAGAAATGGACACAAAATATTGAAATTATCTGAAAAAAAGAAGAAGCTGAAATTAGAAAAAAAAAAAAAAAACAGCTGAAAGGTAGCTAAAAGCAGAAATAAGCTTCAGAAGGAAGTGGAGAGAGCACATTTTTGCTGAATTAGGCTGAAAAAAGTTGAAATTAGTGCAAAAAATGTGGAATTAGCTGAAAAATCTAAAATTAGCATAAAAATAGCTGAAATAGTAGAAAGAGCTGAAACTTGCAGAAATAAGCTGAAAGGAGCATAACAAGCTGAAATTAGCAGAAAGAAATTAGAAGAAGCACAAAAATGTTGTAGTTAGCAGAAAGAATCTGAAAGGAGCGCAACACAGCTGAAAAACACTTGAAATTAGCGGCAAGTAGCTGAAAAAATGTTAAATTTGCACAAGGAAGCTGAAATAAGCTGAAGCAGAACAAAATGTGAAAGGAGCAGTAAAAGGCTGTAAACACATCTAAAGATTTGAAGGATGTAAAATGAGCTCAATTCATTTTCTATGAGACAAAAATGGCAGAAAAGGCTAAATATTTCAAAAAGCTAAAGTTGCACCAATACTAACAGTCATCCTCCTTCTGAACGAGCTGAACGTTTTGATTTATGATTTGTTGAAATACCACAAAAACTGTGGAATGAGAAAGATGCTGAAAAACACAGAAGAAAAATGGATCACAACAGTGTGAATGAAACAAAAATATCCATGCTCAATAATCCAGGTGTACAAGCCAACAATTTTCAGTCAGGTCATCTGGACAGTTTCTTTTTTTGATGAAACGTTTCACCTTCCATCCAGAAGGCTTCATCAGTCAAGGAAACACACAACACAAAACTGATTCTTCCCCCCAAAAGCTTACTCCAAAGTGGAACAAACCAGTTATGTTGGTGTTAAGATGGTGTCTTTGGCATGCCCCCTCCTCCGATGCCGGCCCTCTTCCTCGTCGATGGTCATGTCAAACTGGTTCAAAAACACCATCTTAGCACCAACATAACTGGTTTGTTCCACTTTGGAGTAAGCTGTTTGGGGGAAGAATCAGTTTTGTGTTGTGTGTTTCCTTGACTGATGAAGCCTTCTGGATGGAAGGTGAAACATTTCAGCAAAAAAAGAAACTGTCCAGATGACCTGACTGAAAATTGTTGAACAGAGTGAATGCTTCATAAACATTCAGACAATAAGCAGATGCTCAAAACCCAAAGAAGAGGAAATTAAAATAAGATGAAAATGATTAGAGCTCCTCAGTGTGTGCTTTAAACATTCAGGTGAGACTCGACTGGTCTGCTGCAGAAGTGCATGAACATTATTTTGCTGACTGTGACTGAAGTCGTCTTTTTGCAGCAGATTCTTGGATTGTTCGTCTCTGGGGCTTCAAGGTGCGTCTGAATACTTCAGCATGTGTCAGTCTGCATCGTGGCTTTAAATGAAGTAATCTCCCAGCTTCTGGGATTTTATTTCCACTCCAGCACAACTCCTCTCTGCACGCAGGCGTCATTCTCCATCTTGGACTTGAGTACCTGCTGTAATCGAACACCTCTGCCTTCATACGTCTAATCCACAGTGAAAAGCACCTGCGTGTGCACACTCGATTAAAAGCAGAACCTGGCGAGGCTTGTGCGACGCAGGAGGGAGGCTGGCAGAATAAATCATGTCTAGAGATGCTTTAAGAGATTTTTCTGAAGGTAAAATTACACCTTTTGAGATTAAAGCTCTTCATGGTGGCAACTGTTCAGCAAAAGCTGCTGTTTGAAAAGAAAAGCAAGTGCGTGACAGAGACAAAGTGGTTTATGATGTGTTTTTTTTTACCCTGACTGGGTATAAATGAGACTTTTGTATGTCCGATTTGTTGAGTTCATCCGTTTTGGATTAACAACAAATGATTTCAAAGGTGAAAAAGATCTTTTTAATCCAGTTAATTGTCCATACCAATGCTATAATAACAGAACTCTTGGCGTGTCACGTTCAGGAAGGACGTGTTCTGAGTGAGCGTCCTGCCGTGCAGTGCTGTTTACTTACATTAGCGCTCAGTTGTGTCGTGAGGGCAGAAACCTTTTCCTGGGAGGCATCCAACTCCCGGCGCAGCTTTCGAATCTGCAGGGGCAAGAAAAAACAAATCACATCAAATCGACAAAAGCATAAAAACAGTGAAAGCAGGCGATGCCGAACAGAAGAGACAGTAACAATTAAGGGAGGCTCCCAGATTGGAGCTCCGATATGTTCAGGTTAAAGGATGAAATGCTGCAGGAGCACATGCAGGTGTTCAGGGTGTAAAGAGAGCCTGCTACAGGGCCAGTCACAAAAAGCTGCACAGGTAACTGGATACAAGTGTGAACACAAGCCCAAGTTTCAACAGGTCCGGCCACCGTGCGCTGGAAATGAAAGAGGACGGAAGAGCGGTGGGCGTGTTGACACTCACCTCTGACTGAGACTTCTCCTCGTTCTGCAAAACAAACAGGAAAACCATTAGATGGCACACTGACAGGATTCTTAAACACCTTCATGGAAAGAGAAAGTTGTTCAATGTGCCGGAGGTCGTCCTGCACATGGTTTACTAGCTCCGTATGAGGCGAGCTTCATAAACCGTGGAGGATATGGTCTGGTGTAGTATGTCTGCGAAGCAGAGCTCTCGTCCTGAAGGCATTTCACCGAGTCTCATTGTCCTCGTTCGCATTACGTGGAACAAAAGCAGAAAAAGACAGGGAGGCAAATACACACAGGGGAAGACTCAAAGCAAACGCTCGCACGAACACAACACACCCCGCTGCTGATCAAAACACTGCAACACCCACATTTACATGCACAGTAATATGGGAATGCTACGCTTATTTATGGTGAGACGTCAGTTCAGGGATTATTGGACCAGTTTGAGGCTGCATTATGGATTTATTGTCCTTTCTGTCTTTCAACTGATGATTAGCTCAGCCTGTCACAGAAGCAACGGAGCACAGCGGCTCATAATTAATGTGCTTCCACCTAAACCACCAAAGTACTGAATCAGGTTTCATAAGCCTGCACTGTGTTGGTACAACTGCACTGTGGTGCGTGTGGTTTATGAAGTAGCGATCTGCACACCCAGTCACACACACAGACACGACGGTCTGGATCCTGGAAACACAAACACCGCAGTCTGCTTTGGAGACGCAGCCAAAACACACAGATGTCTCACTCTGATGGGACAACCTGGACCAGCTCCTCGCAGACAAAAACTAATTCAGTTAGAACTGTTTAAATTATTTTACAGCTTTAAAGCAATGGCAATAAAAACAACAAACAAGAAAAACAAAGGGAATTTGAATTAAATGCTGCTGATAATGAAATGCTTTGATTTTTTTTTTTTTTTTTGTCACACAGCAGAGAATCTACTTTGGATTGAAATTCAAGAATCATCATTAGGAAAATGATCTGAATCTAAAACAAATCTGAAGAAATCATAGAAGTCCTCCGTGCTTCAGGGCTTCGTTCCTACCGTTTGTTGCCAGGACGTGATGGTTCCTGTCAGGGATAAAGTGGCCATCATTTTGCCTCCACTCTCCTTCCTGCTCTGATTTACAGCCTGTGGCTCGTTGCCTCCAAGGACCTCACAGTGTGAGAGTTGCCGAGCTACACCTGCTCAGGTGAGCGAGTCCCGGCTCAGAGGGAGGAGGAGCTCCACTGTGACGCACCGAGCCAGCGCTCCACATGTGGGCTGAGTTCTGAGTCCAAACAAGCAGCTAACAAGCTGCTAGCTAAAGCACAAATGTGTTTCTCTGCTAACCACTTGACTGTGAGCTGAGGAACCCCTGCTGCTTTTCTGTTTATTTCTCTTCCGATGAATGTTGCATCATGAGAGGACAGACAAACGTGCATGTGCAGTTTAAAACTCTGCTCTCGTTAAAGATCCTGGCAAACTCACCGTGGAATAAATGGAAGAAGTGCTGGAGACCAGAGACAGGGATGATCCATGAACTGCGGAGAGAGTAAATGTAGGATTAGAATGTACATTAAAGTGATCATAAACAGACCTCCCACAGCAACACTGCCCCGCCCCCCCCCCCCAACTTCTGAATGAAGCCATAAAGATAAAACTCCTCCTTGTTTGAGCTCAACCTGAGCCTTACTCCGTTAATGACTCATTCGCTAATCGCACATCAGACGCAGGCAAACAACAGCGTCCCTGTTTCCTGCCTGGGAGCAGATTAGTAAAGATCAGCGCTGTGATGTCATCAACCACGCCAAGAGGTCGGGCTGATCTGCAAGGAATTCCTCAAAAGGAGCAGACTAGTTAACAGAGGAGTCACTTTTATCTTGGTTTAGTCTAGACAGAACGTTTTGCTGGAAGCCACTTGAAAGATGAATGTTTGTTGCAGTTTTGGGGAGTCATTTGATAAGATCATTTTATATGTAATGATTATTGCCCACTGCCTTTAAAGGTGAACAACACCCCTCTATAAACATTTTGTGGTTAAGATTTTGGAATGCAGGTTTGACACTAAGAAAGGTGTTAGAAAGATTTATACATTGCTCAGTTCATACCATGAGACTAGTTTGGACTCCCTTAAACTGAAATGAGAAACAGACTTGGAGGAATCCATGTCAGACTCAACCTGGAGAAAGATCATTAAGAACATTTATTCATCTTCAGATTGTCTGAGACATGCTATAATTGCACAGGCTGCACTGGTCCAAGGACAAGCTGTCCAAGATCAAAGCCAACCTGGACCCTGCATACAATCATTGTAAACAAACTCCAGCTACACTCTTGCATACATTCTGGACCTGTCCCAAACTGCAGACCTTTTGGCAATCTATTTTTGACACCGTTTCTGGGATATGTGGAAAAACTGTGCCCCCATCACCGTTCATCTCACTGTTCGGGGTGGTCCCTGTGGTTACGTCCTTCAGAAAATACGAGAAGGGTGTGATTGCTTTTGGTTCTCTTTTGGCTAGAAGACTGGTATTGTGCAATTGGAAGGACCCCCCCACCCCCCAGCCCCACCCCCAGCCCACAGCTTATGTACACTGGATAAGGGAGATGATATATAATACTAATTTGGAAAAAAAAATCAGATGTACCCTAAAGGGTTCTGTTAAAAGATTTTGAGATACTTGGCAGCCTTCTATATGTGGACAACTTGTCAATGCCTGTTTAGTTTATTTATGTGTGTGTAACTGATCTGGTGTGGGAGGGTTTTTTGTTTTATGTTCTTTGTGTATTATATGCTCAAAATTAAAAATTAATAACAATAGTTTGATTTTTTTTTTTTTAAAGGTGAGCAATAATGCAATTCCTTCTGTTTGTCTGTTTGCAAAATGTTTCCTGAACTGCTGAATGGATTTGAATAACAGTCATGAAATGTGATCACTGGACGTGCCTCTACAACTCATTATGTTTTGGAGTCAACCCAGTCAAAGATGGTTGCTGCAGCTAATCAACCTCAGCAAATACAAAAATAGCCATACATCAGTCAGTTCTGCACATTATGTGTGGTACTTGTTGAAACTCACCCCCAAAACAAACTCTGAACATTAACTAATCATGCAAAATATATGTATATAAAACTTTGCCATGCAATGTGGCAAATGATACATGTTCCTCCAAGGAACGTCAATTTGAAATTTTTTAAAAGCCAGCAAGGTTTACAAATATTCTAGAAACAAATTATTTATGTTCAAATGCCTCATTTGGGATTTTAAGGAGAATATTTGAGAGGGAAAGGTATTTTATACTTGATCCTTTTCTCCATATTCTGTCCCCACTTCATCCTGTTCAGGCTTGTATGATTGGGAAAGAGCTGGAACCTTCATCAGCAGGCAAAGGTGTGTGGGGGGTGGCTACATCCTGGATGAGTCACTTGGTTTATTGATAAAGTGCATAAAAGCCTGGAGTAAAAAGTTCAGTGGCTCATACTGAGCTCAGAGTAGAGTCGCTGCTCCTCTGCCACAACAAGTAGACTGTGTGGACACCTTGTGGGGCCTAGGGTGTTTCAGACATGCTCCGAGACGAAGATGCTGATCATGTACGAAGTGTAAAGTAGATAAAGCGACAAAACGGGGCTGTTTCTATCGTTAAGGACAGGTCCAACAAAGTGTTTGATGGACAATGTGGCCTTTGCCCTGTCAATCAGACAGGGGCTTATGGGTAACTTTACACTTCAGAAACACACACACGCTCAAGTAAAGTGCATCTGTTTCCACCCCACACAAAGAGTGAGAAAATGAAAAGGGAGAAAGTTTTGTTTAAAGTTTCTTAAATGTCACAGCATCTCATTTACACCTCCCACAGTGATCCCTGTAATTATCTCTTCTCCTCAAAGGGAACATGGATTGTGGGGCTGTGGTGGTGGTGGTGGGGAGACTGAGCCAGATCCGTTACTGGTGGTAGAGGTGTAATAACATGCTTTCACAGAGATCTTTTAAGATTCACAAGGGAAGACAAACAGCTGTCATATCCTGTTAAATGATAAAAAGATAAAAAAAAAAAAACTTTGGCCTGTCATTGAGAGTTCTCATGTAAAACAGAGCATCTATAAAATATACTTGAATTTATCCCAGACAAGGAAAACTAAGCACCACAAAAAATCAACTTCCAGCTATATTTTAGGCAAAAACTCATGTTTATTAAAATGGTCTTTTTATATCGAAATATTAGGGCAGCACATTGTTAGTAAAACATTTTATTTTTTGTTCTTCTTTAATCTTTGTTTGGTGCATACAATCCTAAAGTGTCACTGGATGCAATCTCTATTTCACTCCAGTGGCACTTCCATTCATTCAACCTTTATTTATACAGGTTAGTCTCATTGAGTCACGAGGACTCATTTACAATAATAATAATAATAATTAATAACCCTGAGTCACTTCCTGCAGCTATTATGACCTATTCTAGTAGCTAGATCACCTTCCTAATCATATGTATGGGGGCCGAGATGGTGTAGAGGCAGGGCAGCCGGCTTGGGACCCAAAAGTCCCAGGTTCGATCCCCAGTCACTGCACATCACGTGGCGTCTCTGGGCAGCACGCCTCATCCCCAAAATGCCCCCCGGGCGCTTTCAATAGCTGCCCACTGCACCACCTGGTGGTGGATGGGTTAAATGCAGAGACTAATTTCGCCATTGTATGGAAACATACAGTGCTGACATTGTGGTGACATTATTATTATTATTATTATTATGAACCTCTGTAATGCCACGTTTGCACTGGTCCTACTCAGTCCTGCTCAGATCAGCCTGATTTCCACCACACATCAGGACCAGTTCTAGAGGCGTGTCCAGAATCCAAAATCCTGCTAATGAACTTTTAATGAACTTTAGTTCACCATTAAGAGTAAGAGTTCTGCGATGAGTTAAACTCAAAGCAGTCTGCTCCTCAGATAAATAATGTCAAATTATTATTTTTAAATATGAATGTTTCTTTTTCTCTTAACTTTAATTAACCGATGATTTAATAGTCAAAGTGAAAACAGGATTTCATGATAAAGCCGGCACCGTTTATTTATTTTTATTCTTCACTAATTAAAAAAAAAAAAAAAATGTAATTATACATAAAATGTTTAAAAAAAAAAAAAACGTTTCCACCCCCCGTCCTGTACTCCCGCCTGCCAGGGCTCGGCATCCGGCCTTTGTGAGCATGTGAGACTGGGGCTCGGGGTCCAGCCTCGCATGCTTCAACAGGTCGGCAGCTCATACAATCCTCCACGGTGACTCCGCTCGCTCGAATTTTGTCGTCGGTCACCAAACACAAAAAACGCCTGGACTTCAGCAATAAACACGGTGTGGTCATTATTGTTTTAAAAATCTTAAAAATAGATCCAGCCGCTGCTCCGTGTTCCAAGAAATTGCAAATGGTGGATCGGTGAAAAGTTTCTAAGATCCAGTGACTCCTCCCCCTGACCAATCAGTGACCTGTATTCAAGTTTCGGTCCGGACTCAGCTCACACAGTCCTACCAGAGAAGCAGAGAGCAAACAAGGTCCCGACTCAGACTCGAATCAGCTAAAAAGTACTGTGGAATAGAGATTTTTCCGTGGAGGGCTGAGTAGAGTCGGGGACTGAGTAGGAGCAGTGCAAATGGGGCAAAAGTGTGTTTTTGACCACTGCTTAATTTGTAACCCAAACTATGCTGGAACACAAATGGGGTGGGCGGGTGTCGGGGTGGGGATGTCTAGGGGTCTTCACCCAGAAAATTTTGAATAAAGTAGATGCCATTTCCTGCATTCTGGTGGTTTTTTTTAACGGGTTGTTAAACATCTACTGTATGAAAACACTTGAGTCAACTAGAGAACAACATGACCCACAGCTCACTCCACTTCTCAACAGGAAGTAGCCTGACCAACAGCTCTCCTTGTGTGAATAGAGCACGCTCCACTTCTCTCATGCATCCTAACACACCCCTGTCGAGAACCATCTTCATTGCTACTGCCTTCATGTGCTTCAATTCTCTGTCATTTAGTTGTACAATGAGACTTTATTTTAAATGAAAGTAAACTGGGCTATCTTTTAGCTATTTTGATGGCTTGTAGTTTGATAAATTGGCGCCGTTATTTTGAAACATGACGTAAATCACGTGATTTACCCATCAAACTTTTCTCTCGTATTTTTAATAAATAATTTAAAAAAATATTAATGACCCACTTCAATGGTAAAACTGATTTGTGATTTAGTTGTGTGGTTTAATTATATTTTTGTGTTTTTAATTAAATTGCTCATGAATTAACTTTTAGGGGCAGAGATTTTTTTTAAGAGTAGAAGTGGAAATGCTTACTTGAAGAGGCAGCTTTGATGTGATATTAGGAAGCTCATAAGTGGCTGTTATGTTTAAAATGAGTGTTTATGTAATTATTTTCAGTTTACATTTCCATAGATTTTATTAGTTCAAGGCAGTCATGTTTGCTCATATCTTTATTATTAGTAAGCCTGAGAGTTACCGGATCCAAGCAAACAGTTAACGGAATACACCCTGCCAAAATAAGAGTGTTCCTGGATCCTGCTCCAGCAGAATCCGGCTCAAATTAAGCACTGGTTTTGACACAGGAGAAGGCCAGATATTTCTCATTACAAAAGCTGTTTTGCCACAATACCATGCCCCTGTCTTATTGCTGTTTCTATTTATTCATTCGAGTCAAGCTCTGCGGTTCTGTGGCCCTGAGGATTGAGGAGACGCACAGGGAGTGTTTTTTTCTGAGCTGTTCCCCCGAGCGTAGAGTCCTGCTTCTGATGAGAAAAGCACTGCTTGGTACTTTTCCCAATAAACAAAGCTGATTATGAACTTCCAAAGGGAATGAAAGGCCTTTTCTCCAGCGCAGCAACGGTAATCTGCACTAACTTTGTGTTAACAAATAGAAGAATGATTCATTTGGAATAAAAGTGTGAACAAAGGAGGAGCTGAAATAGAAAGAGGAAATAGAAAGCTGAATTAAACATAAATTGTGGTTTCTTTGGGCTCCTCTTTACCTTCTTCAAACCCGTCCCTGAAAGATCCTGATCGGCTCATGGTGCGCGTCTTCTCATCGAGAGACATGCAGGAGTTTCTCAGCCGGTTGTCACTGCAGGGGTCAAACGGGGCGTCCTGAGTGGTCAGGCTGTTGTTGCGCAGACCAGCGAGATTGATCTGAGCTGCAGACGTCGGGCTGGAAGCTGTAAAATGACACAAACAGTGGTCAATATAATACTGTACTTTTCATCATATAAGTTGCATCTTTTTGCATAAATTAGCATGCACTGCGACTTATACGGCAAAGCGACTTATTTAAGTTGTTTTTCCCCATATTTATAACCCAATTTTTGGCTGAGATCTGACAATTTCATTCATTCTGACATGGAAAATATTGAACACTACAATTTTCCACAACTAGAGAGCCCTCGAGTTATATGGCAAGCCAAGTGTCTCATTAATAGGTAAAAGTGGCTATTAATGAGATTACTGGCTTGCCATACCAAGCCACCTTCGTCTAGCTCTGGAACTCCTGGAGCAAATGTCAAATCAGCTGAATTTCACCGCCCAGGTGAAATGCAGCTGATTTGACCATTAAAGTGCATTTATTAAGGAAAAGTTCAACTGAGACACACCTTTACTATAATGTCGAGCAAACAAATAATTGTTTTTAAGTGTTACTTGTTAAAATCTTGTTAAAGTCCTCCCGTGCACACTCCCGTGGCTGCCATTTGGCAGCCCATCGGTTTTTGGCACAACACCGGTGCTTATTTCCGGGTTGTCAGCGGTGACGCATAACAAACGCGACGTGTCAGCGGTGATGCATAATAGATGCGACTTATATAGCGAAGAGACGTATTTATGTTGGGTTTTTTTTTTCCACTTTATTAGACATTTTTGGACTGATAATAATAATAATAATGTGTTATGCATTGTCATCCCCATACAATGACAAAATTGGTTCTCCACAACCAGGTAGGGCAGTGGGAGGCTATGGAGGGTGACCGAGGAGCAACTGGGGATAGGGTGTCCTGCTAAGAGGCACCACGAGATGTGCAATGACCGAGGATTGAGCCCAGGACCTTTGGGTCCCAGGTCGGCTGCCCTGCCCCTACACCATCTCGGCCCCCAATGATGTGACTTATACGGCAGTGTGACGTGTACGGTATCAAGTACGGTACTTTTTAGTTACTTTTTAAAACCTGGTTGTACTGCAAAACCCAAGCAAAAAACAAGTACTGTACTTTTCGGCGTATAAGTCACAGGTTTTTGCATAATTTACACGCCCTGCGACTTATGGCCGAAGCCACATATTTATGGATTTTTCCCATATTTATAAACCAATTTTTGGCTGAGATGTGACTGTTTTCATTCATTCTGACAGAAAAAAAATTGATCAGTACTACTTTCAGCCACCTGATGGCAGCAATAGCTGTATGGTATGCCATTGTATCATGTAATAGGTAAACATGGCTATAATGACAAATTCAAAAAAGTTCAAGACAAAAACAACTGGAAATTATTTATTATACTTTACTTGATACTTTATTGTTTTTGTCTTGAATTATTTTTTTTATTTACCATGTCCTGAATGACTGAGAATCTTTACCAGCTATTAATGAGTCAACTGGCCTGCCACAGACTCCCCACCTTCATTCTGCTCTCTGCTTGGAACCGTCAAACCAGCTGCTGACGAAATGCAGCTAATTTGACCATTAAAGTGCATTTATTAAGCAAATGTTAGATTGATACAAGCATTTACTATAAATTAGAGCCAACAAATAATTGTTTTGAGGCGTTTATCTTGTTAAATTTGCACAGCGACTCGTCACGCGTTTACTTCCGCGTATAGGGTTTTGAAATACAGCTGATTTGACCCTCAAAGTGCATTTATTAAGCAAAAGTTAGACTGAGACACACATTTAATATAATTTCAAGCAAACAAATAATTGTTTTTAAGTGTTCATCTTGTTAAATTCTTGTTAAAGTCCTCCTGTGCACACTCCCACGGCCGCAATTTGGCAGCCCATCGGTTTTTGGCACAACACCGGCCCACATTTCCAGGTTGTCAGTGGTGACGCATAATAGTTGCGATGTATACGACGAAGCCACATATTTATAGATTTTTCCACTTTATTAGACAAATATGGACTGATGCGACTTATAGGGCGGTGCGACGTGTACGGTGAAAAATACGGTAAAATTACTCCTTTGAGTGCAGTAATTGGGAGTGTTTTAAGGAATTAGGTGAAGAATAATAAGAATGTAGCTGGTGCAGTCAGTTGGGACAACATGTCTTCAAACTGTCTCGAGACATACACTTTCACTCCATCTGCATTTGTGGAGTTGTGTTTTAGCGTCATACCCAGCTGCCCGAAGTTGAAGCGAGTACCGGAGGGGGAGGTGAGGCTGGAGCTGGGGGAAAATGGCGAGTTGCTGGCAGAGTCCTGCAGCCCACTGGTGGAGTAGGAGCGCAGCCAGTCACGATCCTCGTGCCCTCGCAGCTGTGTCGACGGGCCGTACCTGCCGAAATACAAAGAAACGGTTAAAATGACAGGCTGGAGTCCGAACGGGGACAAAGCAGTGTGGACTGTGCTCATGTGGGATCAGATTGTACATTTTATTTTTTTAGTGATGTGGATGTTTCTTCTTTCAAGCAGCCAGATTAATAGCCGGGATTTGACATGAAGATGAAACAGATGCAACACTTTTTTTACAAGAGCGTGAAATTACGCAGGTTCCAGCTTTGAGCAACAGAAAAAGCAGAAAAGACACCCCAAAATAAAAAAAAGTTAAATAAAACTGACCCTGCTGCAGTAACCATGCCTGCCCCAGCATAAAACACGCCGACAGCTCGGTGCAGGGACAGAATGACACGCCTCCTAACGGAAGCACAACACCACAACATGTGCCCAACAAAAACTCCTTATTAAAGCGTGAGCAGAAGCCTTGGAGTGGACATGGACGCAGGAATAAAGGGAATGCTGACGGGATTTTGGTGAATATGTGTGGGGAGAAGTGTTCAACAGAGAGCAAATAGTACCTGAATCCCTTCTTAGGCAGAGTGTTTCTACCACAATGTGGCCCGCTGTGGGAGAGAAACACTTCAGAAGTGGAAAACAACAGAAGCAACAAAACACCACAAACTACCTAAATCATCCAGTTTGATCTCTCGTCGGCTAAAAAAATAAAGTTTATTCTGCAAAGTGAATTTTTCTTACTGAGGCCCAGAAGTTTGGTGCCAAAAATTCACCTTTATCACTCTTTTGTAAAACAAAATAAAGTGAAATACAGCAGTAGAAAGTTTGTAAAACATTAATTTATAATTTTTTTTAAAGGTAACAAATTATATCTTTAAGCTTTGTGGTAAAAGAGGAGTTTAAGGAAAGAAGCAAAGCATTTTAAATTATTTATTCTTTGCTCCTGTAATTCAAAAATGAACCACAAGATGGCAGTCTGACCACACATCATAAAGCTAACAAAAACCCAGACAACCTCACGTGCTTACATTCATAACGAGGGGCCATAAAAGTAACCACCAACTACCACACAGGGCAACACATTTAACACAAAACTACACAACGACACAAACGTTCTGAGCTCCTTCATGGTGTGCCCTGTGTGGCAGCAGGTGGTGGTTCCACAGCACCACCTCCAGCGAGCTCACCAGAAGCCTACCATCACACACAGGTAGATTTACCTGTCCTGCCTCCGAGGGAGCGTGTTTCGGCTGAATATAGGGCTAGCAGAGGGGGAGGACAGGGGGCTGATGGAAGACAGGAAGGAAGACGAACAACAGACAGAAAAACAAGTTTTAGAGAGAAGGAACGTTTCAGAACAAAGATCAGCTGCAGGATTCCTCACTGACGAAGCTGAGGAACGTCAGGGAGGAAGGTGAAACCAGAACCTCAGACTTGTGAGTCCAGATGATGCAACGTTTCCTTAAAGACATTCTTCTCACATTTCACATGTCGAGTACTGGGCAGGATTTAAGGGCCCCTTTCAGGAAGCTTTTTATGTTTGTTTGTCCAGTATCACCTGTTCAACCAACTTTTACATGGATTAAAAAAGTTATGTCCATCCACAGCTGGTCTGTTCACACTACACATACTAATATTTATAGTTAACCAGTGTGAATGCTGACAGTTTAATAACAGTAAAAACAGACTGTTTATTTAAGACGGGGGTGCCCAGACTTTTTCAGCATGCAGCTCCTTTTAAAATGACCAAGTCAAAGTGATCTACCTCTCTATCAGGCCCCGTTTACACGAGAACAACCTCTGGAAACGTTCATGTTTTTTCAATGTTTATAAACAACAACAAAAAAGAGCAAGTTCACACAAAAATGCTGTAGTTTCCATGTCAGTCGGGTTGCCAGATAAGAAATTATGAACTATAGTATTGTGGCTTTAAAATGTAGTATTTTGTCATAAACTGTCAAATGTGCTGAGTAAAGATATTCTAAGATGACGTGTGTGCTGTGTTTGCTGAACATGTGCACAGAAACGAAGGGGGTAAATAAGACATTTTAAATTTATCTGGCAACCCTGATGCTGGGCTCAGCTGCATTCATCGTGCATGAAGCGTCTACATGACAGTTATGTCCAAACTGGTGAACACACTAACGTCTCTTTGGAGCCTGGATTTTATTAGTTTTGCTCCTACATGCTGAAAAATGGTGAGCAGCAAAAAAAAACAAAAAAAAAAAACACTCTGCTCTCTGACATTTATTATAACTGTTGTTATTTATTATAACTGTTGTTATATTTATT